GAGAAGCGATGGCAATGCCGCCAGGTCTAATGGTCTGATTATGGCAACTTAACATAGCTTACAGGCTCTCACTTAAGCATTCTTTTAAATGGATGTTGCTTATAACTGAATAGCCGAAACTTAACGTAGAAGCTTAAACATACGACAGCGTTGATCCGGATTAACTCGAACTTAATCCGGATCAACTGCAGTTAATTCCCGAGTTGATTCGGATCAACGCTGTCGTCTGTTTATGCTTTAACTTAACGCTCGACGTGGCCTACGTTCCGTTAAGTTAAGTTAAGTTGCCATAATCAGGCTTTTACTCGCATGCAAGGACTGCAGGCAGAACGGTGAACAACAATGAGCATTTGAGCCGAGTTGATACGAATGCAACAGCCCATTCGGCAGTGATATCTACAACGAATAAAGGCAGTTCATGAGTGGGTGGATAAGCAGTAGCGAAAACGGTGACGACGATTGTTTGGTCAACAGCGCAGCAAAGCCAGTCCAAATTGAACTCGGTTGGCTGACCGGTCGATGTCGACGTCGCCCTCTTCGTCCCCATCATTTCCGTCGTTTTCACGTTGAAGACGCCAGCAGATTGCAAGGAATGCAAACGACACAAGCAGACGGACGTACAGGCAAACATGCAAACAGCACTTCGATTAAGTGACGACGAAAGCGCCGGGGCCTGCAAGGATAATGTGAAATTATGAGCAGACAAAGCAGCCAAAGTGGCATTGAAGAAGCAGAGAACAGAAAGAAGAATGTGGTAGTAGACAAAAGCGGGCGTAGAATAGGCTGAAAGTATGAGTGAGGGTGGGCTAAATGAGAGGCGGCAGTTGCTCGAGCAAAATGAACCGAATTACAAAAGTGTATAGGCAGTGCGTGGAGACATTAACCATACGAGCTGGCATGCTGACTCACACATGTAAATAGTTGATTATACTTATTTGAGTACATATACCTAAACCTACATACACTAGAAGCCGGTATGTGAATTTATTCTGCAAATTTAGAGGTGTTTTCACTGGCGAGCATAAGAAAATTGTTTTTGGTGTCTATGTCGTTTTCCTTAATAAAAGTTGTTATTATTGTTGCATTTTGTCATTAGTTTATTCGTATACGTTATGCTCTTTAAGCAGGTTTGGCAGTGCGCTTGGTGTGCGCGGGTGTCATGGGCTACGAATTCGTGGAGTGCATTTGCATTTCAACAAAAGTAGTCAACTCTGCACGGACAAGCCATAGCTATACATAGTTTGCGGTCGACTGCTGAATGTTGTCGTCGGCTAGCCCATTGGCAGCACAAATACCAGCAAAGAGGAACAACAACACATACAACGAAAGTATTGCTGCCCAGTTGAAAATAAGTAATTTAGAAAATTAAGGATTAGACACAATTTTAGTATGCGAGTGGGTGCGGCGAGGCAGGTTGTGGTAAAATTTATGAAGGAACTTCCCACTATAAGGCAGTTGTAGTAGATTGCAGAAATATCGATTTTTGATTTGCATGCAAGTATGCAATTAAAATTATGGAAGAGCGGACATAAGTTGGAGAAGTTGTGGAAGAAGAGATATCTTAAATAATTTGCGTTTAATGTTATTGCGGGTTTTCGAAAGACGATCTGTGGCTCTTGAGGTTTTGGGTCTTAAGTCGATAGGCACTATTTGGCACTATTTGGTAAGTACATAAGTGGCAAGTAAACGTCATTCTGGCGATCCCAGATCATAAGTTAATTTTATTTCTTATTATTGAGCATTGTTTTGAGTGGAGAACTTAACATGAAAGACGCCCAGAAATTTAACAGATCGGCAGTAAGAGTTTTTGTCGTTGTTCCAAGGATGGCGAACGCCAAAGAGTTCATTCTGCAGAGGCTACTGTGCGCTGTCTGTATTGGAGTCCAGGCCGCGAGTTGACTCAAATCACTGGGGTCACGGTTCTTTAACAGTCTGGCAGATAAAACTGGAGTCGACTACTTCCTCGATTATTATTTTTCATCTCGTCTTAAAGAAATTCCGGTTAGAACATTTGCTTCATCCTGCTACTTACTCACCACAGGGCTCAGGTAATTGCAGTGGATAATTGTGGGGCGTATTAACAGTCTAAATAAGGTCGTAACTAAAGTAAGTTTTTTTTAAATAATTTTTTTTTATGGAATATCTGTTAAAAAAGCTACAACTAAAAGCTTAAACAGACGGCAGCGTTGATCCGGATTAACTCGGACTTAATCCGGATCAACTGCAGTTAATTCCCAAGTTAATCCGGATCAACTCTGCCTTCTGTTTATGCTTTAGCTTTATTTCGACAACGAATATGCCCCCATGTATCCGACTAGATACCTGTGACTTTCGATTTACGCTCTCCTACCTGCGCTACGAAGCCTTTCTCGCTTTAAACTTAACACTTATTCAGTAAAAGTCTCTAATTCTTAACATCCAGATTAAGGTCGAACATTTCAATAAGGACTCTAGACTACTAGAATGCGTAAAAACAGCACGGGGTTCATGCGATGTACTTAAAAAAAAATATTCTTAAATTTTTAGCAACAAAAAATGTTAAGCATGCAATTAAACGTTGTTTGTGTTGCCCCTTAATAAACCGTAATCAAGTAATTTGTATAACCTCTTTTCGTTCCTGTGCCTAAAATGCCTAGTCACTCTTCTCGAAGAAAAAAAATTCTGCAAAATATTTAAGCCATTCAAAATTATCCACTTAAGGTGGCTTAAGCAGATTTCCTTTAGTTTCGAGCGTTTGAAAAACTGCACTCACATACAACTACATGCATATTTACGTGCACGCAGTGCCTAGACTCTCAAACAGCAAGCCTTACACTTCATATGCCATTTGGTCTCTATGTTGTTTCACTGCATTGTTTTTGTAATTTTTGTATTGCATTTTCTCCACTTGAACTCATTTCCAACAACTGCCACATGCGCATTTACAAGCTTGTATGTACATACATACCTATGTAGTCGTTTACAGTGGGTAGTAAATATTTTTGTGTGCGTAGGTGTGAAAGCCTTTTCGAACAGCTGTTCAACTGACCACTCTCAATTATTCACCAACAACAAACACAAATAAATATGTAGACAACAAAACTCTTATCACTCTCTACAACAATGCAAATGCAGTGATTGTTTGTTGTTGTAAGCAGTGTTGCCAACCTACTTATTTGGATGTGTGTCTGGTAAAATATTCGAGGAAAGAAATTAAGGATGTGATTACAGAGTTTTATAAACATAAATGTAATATTGTTTTGAGGAATTTTTTGGCTAAATTAAAGAAGGCTTAACTTTTAGTTTCGATTTTAAGTTGTTTAATTTTGTATTAAATAGTGTGGGAGCCTTATCCCGCCGTTAGCAGGCAAGGCACGGCGACCTTTTTCTGTATCACTAGTATCCACCGAAGTCAATCGTATTGCTGAATTAGTCGTCATTTTGGTGTTCGGGTTTTTTTACCTCTGACCGTTGCTTTCTTTTTTTCCGCATTCATTCCTTTACTCTTCTTCTCTTTCTCGTACGTATTTGGCTATCGATTTTTACACTTCCTCCCAGTTTTCCCTACAGACTTTTTCTTATCTTCCTTAACTTTGCCGTTTCTTCATTTGCATTTTCTATTTCCCTTGATTGCGTTCACCTTCTTAGCGTTCGCTGTGGACATTCGAATGCTTTCGGAATGCATTTCGGTTGCTACTCGCATTGTATCTATAAGTATCTATGTATGTACATATGTGTGTAAATGCATATACTCGACTTTTCAATAAATGTGGAGTATGTATTCGTTGTTGCCTCACTTCCTTTCAACTTGAACCCCTCCCCCTCACTCACAAATGATAATTAATGAAATTAATGCCTGAGTGTGAGTTTAAGTGCACAAAATATTCGATAATGTTTGCATAAAATGTAAATTCTAAAATATGTGAGCATTAAGTAAGACAGCTTTGGGGTGAGTGCCTAGAGTGGGAGGAGGCCGAAATGAGCGAAAAAGAGGTTGTAGAGGGCTGAATGCCACAGTAACAAGCAGAGCGGGCAAGCGATTGTTGGAGGCGAAATTTCATGTAGCAGTGCGGACAAATGCACTCATGCAAATCACACACACACACACACACACACACATTCATACATTCATTAATACATACATGTGTATATAAAGTATGTACAGTTAACATTTGAAACTTTTTGTGCGAAGGTGGCAAAGTTTGCAAAATATATGTATGTATTTGCATTCTGCATTTATCGGACTAAGCTGGGTGCGCGCGCGGCTGGGCGGGCGAGTCTTTGGTGAGGTAAGTGTAAGTAAGGCGAAGACTTCATAATGAGACTATGGCATGCACACATTAATTTATCTATATGTGTATGCGTAGGTATGGATGTATGTATTTGTAAGTATTTGCATGCTTTTAGGGGCAAATAATGTGCAAATCAGGTTCAATTTGGGTGTGCTCATTCGTGCAAGGAGCGCCGCTGTGGGCTTGCGTTTAATGCAAATGTGTGTTAAATACATTTGTGAATGTATGTATGACTAGGTTGTAGTGGCAAATAATGTGCTCTTAAAGTATGCAGATGCAGTAAGTTCTTTGCGAAATTTGTTGCATACTTTTAGGTGTAGAAACGTTACAATTTGATTACTTTAATCGAGAGGGGGAAAAGGCAATATAACTAATATTTTGAATAGGCCCTGAGTTATATTTCAAATATTCAGCAAAAAATAAAATTTTGCCAAAAAATTGATAGAGAGTACAAAAGGTAGTGGTGTCCTGGCAATATAAAAAATGTGTTCAGTATGCCAAACGATTACCTAATTTCTAAATATGCAACTGCTAGAGAGACTAAATTATTGACATATCACGTTTTACGCCTTTACCAATATAATCCAGTCCTATTAGTAAAGTATTGCATATCTCAGGGCGCTAGATACGCTTTCTGCCATATTTGTTTCAACTTGAGCATTAGCTTATTCATATTTTCTTACCACTCTTACTTTTCTTTTTACTTCTCGTCCTCTCTCTCCCATTCTAGTCTCCCCACAATGCCTCACTGACATGGCCGAGGGCTGCGAGGAAACGGAGAGCCAGCCAAGCAACCGCAAAGCCGATAACGCGCCGACCATGCTCGGCGCTGTCTTGCCATGCGAAACCGCCATAACAGCCGCCTCATTGGGCACTACCTCGACCGCCGCTGGCGGCATTGTCATCAAGCGTGAACCTTCAACCAACTCCAGCCCATTTGTGGACTCCAGCGTACACCATTTGAGCGGCAGCATTTCAGCCACAGTCAGTCTCACCGCCACAGGAACGCCCAGTCCGGACGGCACACCGCCACCGCTCACAACAACAACAACAACACCAACACAAATATTGGCCATCTCACCGAACGGCTGTCGGCCGACAACCCCTGCGCTACAACACCCACAGCAACAACGCACAACCACATCGCTAGTGGCGTGTGCACGCATCGGAAGTACTACAGCGCCGACTACAGCGGCGGCAGGCCGTTCGTCCTCCTCGTCGTCGTCATCGTCCTCCTCTTCCAACTCATCGATGACTTCGTCCACATCGTCCACATCCTCGACCGCTTCGTCGTCGACGACGGCGGCTGTGGCGCCCAATTCGAATGCCAACAAATCGCCTTGCAGCATAGCGGGGTCGCCGTACTCCACATCGGCGGTCGCGTCGTCAGTGCGTGGGGGCATTTCACCAACATCGCCACCGCTTTCCTCGGCGGCATCGGTTGCAGCACCAGGCACACCTAGCGGTCTGGAGGCAAGCAACGGCAGTTGCGGCTCAGCAGTTGCCAACGGCATTGCGGCAACAGTTAGTGGCTTGACGGCAGCGCAGGCAACAACGGCGTCGACTATGACAGCGAGCGCAACATCACCGGTAGCAGCGGTGCAACAGGAGCGTACACCTTCACCAATAGCTGAGACGAACGCATTGCTGCCACATGTGGCGCTCAACATCAAAACTGAATCGGTAAGTGCAAATGTTTGATTACTTGAGCCTTTTTGGGGATTTGCCAAGCGGCAAGTAGATAAATGTGTGGGTGTGGTCGACAAGGGTAAAAGTGGCATTAAGCTCGTGTATACATACATATGTACGAGCGTAGGGAAAAAGCTTGCCTTGAGGCTATTCCCGTAGAAATGTGACTCTGCAAAAAGCGTGTGACAATCGGCGATTTGCCAAAACTCAGAACTAACGATAAAATCAGCAACAAGTAGCATGCAAAATAGCGCATGCCTTTGACGCTGCTAAGTTAGAGAGTCGCAGCGTTTTCGGTGAAATTCCCAAATTTGATAAATTTATGTGACCAGAAATGTTGGCTCGAAGTTTGCTTTGGCGGGAAAAATGCAACTGCTTTCATCTTGTTTTAAATTATTTTGGCTGCTGATAATTGGCGCGGCTGTTATGTTGAGAAGCATTATTTTAAGCATTTCGTTTGTGTGTCACTTCAAATTCCCTTCAAACATTTTTTTGCTACAAATAAATTAGAAAAACTACAAACTGTCGTCGCATTTTGGGTGCGCTACATACCTCTATTCCAACCAAAGCAATACTGCGACTTAACAGGAATAAATATCTTAAGCGTAGCCGCCTACTCCTTACCTTCCTACCTTAGCCGCGCTTGCCCGCCCCAGCGCGGTGTTTGTTACCACAAGCAATAAGAAATTATTCCGCATCCCAGCCACCTTTCTGCCTGCCAGTTTACCTGCTTTTTTCCATGATTCTATTTTTGTTTTTTTTTCTGCAAATTTTTTACTCCGACTTGTCGCTTGACTTTGACTTTGGCCTGATTTTGAGCATGGCAAATACTTCGAAGAGGGAAGACAAGCGCTACAAGCGCGCCGCACGATCAGCAAACAAAAAAACTCGAAATGCAAAAATCTTAAGTTGCAAACGAGCAGCAGAGAAAAAATGCCGTACAGCAGCGTGGAAAAAAAGTGTCGATAATTAGTGAGAAACGAGTTAGAACGAGTTTTGAGTTGCGAATTTGTCGATGCGCGCTTTAAATATTGGACTTGGCATACTTTCCAGTGAAATCTTGTTAATTGCGCTGATAACTTGCTGGTGGCAATGATTAGATGGTTGGTTGGTTGAAAATATGAAAAATGCAGAAAAAGTAATGGAAAATTAGTATGAGTATATGCCAAACGAATTTTTGTATGTGTCTAGTAGCCTGTTACACGAAAGCAGTGGTTTTTTGTGTGAATTCAATATTAAAACTGACTGAAGCAGAAACATAACATAAAAAACTTTCCCCAAAAAAAAAAAATAAAATTGTTTTCGCTTAAAAAAACTACATATTCTGAAGAATATTTTAAGCAATTTCCCAATACGAAATTTAAAGAACAAACAAAAGTCGATAATCCGAACAACTGATTGCAGAACCTATTCGAATTATCGAAACATTTGCTTTGTCGGGTTAGCTTAGTATTTTTAGTAAAAAAATTAAATGTTTAAATTACGAGAGACTTACAGACAATTACGAGTAGTGATAGAACTTTTTAGAAAAGCATCGATACTAGTACTCATTTATAATACTCTAAAAAAGAATCGATGCCAGTACTCATATTTGCAAAAAAGTATCGATAATACTCGTACTTCCAAGTATTTTCAGGGCAAACGCGAAAAGTTAACAAACATCAGATCGCTTTGTTTACATATATGTACATATGACCTCTGTATTTTTGTAAATTGAATAGACATTGCTTATAATAGCTGAAGTCTGATCTAACAAGCATTTCGAACGGAGTTTTTGAAAAGAACTTGCAATAAGTTTAAAAGCGTAAAATAAATGTGTATAGCAAAAGGCTTGTTTGAAGCTTTTAAAGGCAACTAAAGCCATTGTCTAAAGGAAAGATAAGCTTTCTTTTACAAAAATTTTCTTCGAAAGCCGGCTGGACCAAGGTAGAATACATTGGAAAACGAAGGTTCCGTTATTCTGGAGAATTGCCAAGTTGTCGAGCCGAAGACCACCCTCCTAACCCATTCCTTACACCGGCGCGAACAAAATTGGTATGTGCTTTTAGCCAGACCCACTTGCCGCCTCGTATTTCGATCCACTGAATCCGAATCTGACTCGTTTTTGCCAATTTTTTCACAATTTTCGCAAATGACTCCAAATTTAAGAGCTGTACGAGTCCAATGGACCTCAATACATGTAGATATGTGGGTCTGGTTAAAAACATATATGTACCACTTTTTTTGTGTGAACCCATATATGTAATACTTCTATATTGCTAGTACAATATGATCGCAATGAGTTTTCCATTCGAAATCAAAGAAAGACAGCCTATGAAAATTTTTGTAATTGTAGAAGTATACGTGTAAATTTGTAAACTACTACATAGAATGAAGTGCCATATCATAACAGGGCAGGTTCAGGGAATTCAACAAACAAACACAAATTTGACGGTCTCATGTTTCCTTCACGCTGAAATGTATATCGAGCCCTAGCCGCGAAAATAAAGTAAGACAACTTTTTTCAAAATTTAATTTTGATGCATAAATGCCTTTTAGAGCACCTGCATCAAAAAGTAATTTAAACAAATATATATATATATATATATACATTATTTTAGCGGTTAGGGCTCGGTATGACGAATTTCTCCGATGCTCCTCGTTATTTGGAAATCTGAAAAATTGGAAGATAGAAGATCTTTACCTAACAAAGGTAAAACTTATTTACACATAAAGCGGTATGGTATTTTATACTTATGTTGGTCGAATCCAATAAAGCATGTTATTCGATTCCCTTCTATGCTGATTGACGCCAATTGGAAATGCCAACTAATGCCAAGTCCTTCTCTAATTGGTATTTTTATCCTCTGCCACCACCAACGGCTACAGCGCTTCTCATAGATTTACAAAAATTTTATTTTTTGTTAATTTTTCATAAGAGCTCTTTTTAAATGAAAATTTGTGAAACCGCTCCTGAATTTTGAAAAGTAAAATTGTCATTTTGAGTACATTCTCTTATCGGACCTCTTTTTCTTTTTTCATTATTTCGACACTCTGATGTTGGGGAATGTACTTTGAATGTACTTGCAATATAGAAGTATTACATATATGTGTGGACCAGTGTTATCGAAGGTATGGCGAGAGATTCGTTTTCCAATTATTTAAGAAGTTTTAACTGAGCCAAATGTCCACATGACTGCTGCCTCTTCTTTTATGTTGTATAAAAATTTCATAGCGATTACCAGTAGCGATTACCAGTAGTTGCAAGAATTTACAGGAATTTACCAGAAAGCGTTCCCGTACTCAGGTATCTGGCTTATTTAACCTTTTGACAGTTTTACAGGTTTTAACCCAGAAAAGTTGGGGAACGCAACTAAAAAAAATTTACCCAAACAAGTTTTTAAAACGTCGATACTTTTTAGTATTCGCGATATTTACTCAGTACTTGTCGAAAAGTATCGAGTTCTCGATACTACTCAGTACTCATGAAAAGTATCGATTTTCTGTACTCGGTACTCGTATCGTTCTATCACTAATTACGAGAGACACACTAAAGTATGTAAATGTAACTATATTTTAGAAAAAAAAAAATTTTCATTTTTCTTTTGACCACTCTCGGCACACCACAAATAATGATAAAATTTCGCTGGTTTACATTCCATTACATTTTGTTACAAATTATCTGAAAATGTGAGCAAAGCATGCGATTCTCATCATAGAATTGCAATTAATTCGGATTACTGAGTAGTTAGTGCTGTGCCGTACTTAAGAAGAAGTTAGAAGAGAGAAAGGCGCTGAAAGGCCTGAAATTTTATCTTTTCAGTTTTCCTCGGAACAATTTTTTCAAACTGGATATCTAAAGATCCGATTGGCTGTACATATATTTTTTAGAGCACTGCTTAGAGATTTTTTGGTCTGATGATCGGTGCTTCAGTTGTGAATTTAATTAACCAAATGTTTTCATGAAAATTCATGTCGTTTCTTTCTACCACTGCCCTTTTTACAAAAAAAAAAAAAAAAATTTTTCTCTACCCAGCGTCATAGCTACTACCTTTTTCGCATGATTGAGAAAGCTTATACACTGTTTTGAAATGAGGGGGCTAATGAATTCCTCATATTGAGCCCTAACCGCCAAAAAGATGTAAGGGGCATTTTTTTAATTTTTTTTTCGTTGCGGAAATGTTCCTAGAGAATTTCAACATCAAAATTAAAATTTGGCAAAAAATTTCGCTTACATCTTTTTCGCGGTTAGGACCCGATATGTGAAAAAATTTCATAATATATAAAAAATGATTTCTAAACCTATTTTTTGACATTAAGTTTGGTGTAACCCTTTAAATTGCTGGTGAAACCGGCAGCAAATAGTTTATGCAGATATTTTATTCTTTTGTGTAGTTTTCATTTATTTCATTATCTATATTCTGTTTTTATTTTAAATAAATTTTCCCAAGCAAAATATTTACAAATAATTTAAATTTAATTTACTTATCGTGGTTCATTTTTATTTCAACTAAGTTAAATTTAATCTAATCCAATTTTATTCAATTCAACTCAAATCAATTGAATCCGATTCGGGTCAATTTGGTCCAATTTTTTTCTCTTTATTTTACTTTATTTCAATGTTTTCCCCATTTACTATTATTATTTTGTTTGAATCAATTTAATTTCATTTCATTTTATCTCACTTCATTTCCTATCATTTCATTTCACTTCACTTCACTGCACTGCACTTCACTTCACTACACTGCACTGTACTGCACTCCAGTACACTCCACTTTACTTAACTTTGTTTCATTTCATTTGTTTCACTTCAAGTCATTTGGCTTCTCTTCGTTTTGTTTCATTTGATTTTACATCTCTTCGTTTTATTTTCTTCAATTTCATATCGTTTAGCTTCATTTCATTTCGTTTAGCTTCATTTCACTTCACTCCGTTTCGTTCCAACTCAATTCACGTTTTCCATATTCATTATTTTCCTAAGAATTTATTTATTTATTGTTTTTTTTTTTAAATTT